TTCCTTTCTTGTTCTAGTTGTCACTGTTGTAGTCTCTCTTCTTGTTTTCTTTTCTCGTTTTTCCTGTTTCTTTTCTTTTCCTCCAACAACTGCTGTAATTTCTCTTGTTTATTTTGTTGTTCGAGCTGCCACTGTTGCAGGTTTTCTTGCCACTGCTGTTGTCTCTCTTCTTGTTTCTTTTCTTTTCCTCCAACAACTGCTGTAATCTCTCTTCTTGTTTATGTTGCTGTTCGAGTTGCAACTGTTGCAGGTTTTCTTGCAAATGCTGTAATCTCTCTTCTTATTTCTTTTCTTGTTTCTTTTCTCGTTCTTCTTGTTTCTTTTCTTTTTCCTCCAACAACTGCTGTAATTTCTCTTCTTGATTCTTTTCTTTTTCCTCCAACAACTGCTGTAATCTCTCTTCTTGTTTAATTTCTCGTTCTTCTTGTTTCTTTTCTTTTTCCTCTAACAACTGTTGTAATTTCTCTTCTCGTTCTTCTTGTTTCTTTTGCTCTTCGTGTATTGCTGCCATCAAGTCTGCTAGGCTGTAGTTTGATTTGCCGCTTCTCGTTTCCATTTTTTTATGTATCCCACTTCTGACACAAATTTGTTACGTCTCCATTTGTTAACTGATTTCCCGTAAATTCGCTCCGACGTCACAAGTCCTTACTTAATAAAACTGGTTTATTCTTTCCGAATATAACTTTACGATACACTCAACTTCAACAGTCGCGCTATAACAAACACTATAACGAATGAACGTTAATTTCAACAATACGTCTCTCTCTGACTGCAGTTCAATTACTCATTACCTACACACACACTGTCCCGTCACGTTGTGACCATCTTTTATATACCAGACTACCCTATATCTAGTAAATGCTAGGGCATTCACCAAGTTTCAGGATAGTTCTAGAAACGTGGCGTGACACTAGTCATGTGACCTCGCTGACGCAACAATACTTAGTATTCCACAAATGTTTCACTTCATTCCCCATGGTAAACAGAGTGCATATAACTCATTGTGTAGCTTTGTGCTAAAAAAGAAAATGCAAAACCTTGACAGTGGATTTGGTAAATCTATAATAAAAAATTTCAATATTTGTATTATTAAATTTCTCACAACTTGGTTTATATTGAGGTGATAAATTACATCCCTATAACTATATTTAAATTTAATGGAAATTCTCTTTGAGATATTTTATTCACTGTTAAACTTTTTCTCACTATTTAAAATAAAACCACTTGTTATATTTTTACAAATCTAAATTGCTTTACTTTTTCTGAATGTAATTTTAAACACAATCAACTGTCAAAATTTTTATAAATTTAAAGAGAATATTTCAATTCTTTCCAAAATAAAACTATTTTCTGCATGTTGAGAAATAAAAAAAACATGTTTCTTATTTTTTCATCCATGTTTCTACAGCTAAAGTAAACAAATAGTGTCAAGATAATCACATTGCCTACAACCTCTTTTAATTTTAAACATTTCACTTAAAAGTCCATTTTGAATAACTGTAGATTTAATATCTTTATGTAACAAACTTATCCACTATTTAGAAGCTTTGCCAAAACTATATATCATTATATCTTTATTTTAAAAGTGCAAAAGTGTGCATCGTTTTTCAAAGTCCAGTATTGATAATGAAAATCCTATCATATTTTCCATTTCAGTAAATCCTATAATATTGTTGCGTGAGCGAGGTCATGTGACTAATGTCACGCCACTTCTCTCGAACCTTCGGGAATAGTCGGGAGATTACTAGATATAGGGTAGTCTGGTATATATAAGAGGGGGACAACGTGACGGAATCAATGTGTGTGTAGACAGCGAGTAATTGATCTGCAGTCAGAGAGTATTATTGAGCACGTTCGTTGTTATAGCGTGATTGTTGAAATTAAGTGTATCGTAAAGTTATATTCGGAAAGAATAAACCAGTTTTATTAAGTAAGGACTTGTGACGCTAAAGTTTCGTCGGAACGAAGTTACGGAAAATTAATTAACAAACGGAGACGTAACAATATCATAAGCTATTCTAATCTAACATATATTTGCCTTTTGTAAAACTTTTTCATTTTCGTTTATTGGTAAGTTTGACAATAGGTGAATGGTCACTACAATATCTAGCTTTTATGTATTTTATGCTTCAAAAAATTCAAACATGATTGTGATATTAAAAATAAATCTAAACATGCCTGTTTCAAAGGGTTTATTTTTTCCATGTAAACAAATTATATTTTGAATAACAAACCCTAAGTGGATTACATAATGAATCTGTTTGCATGAACTGTAAAACTTTTTTTATATCACTTGGGTCACCTCACATGAAGAAATCTTACTCTTTCTAATATAAGATATCTCTATATCCAATCACTACAAATGATATCATATATTAGGTCATAAAGAAATTAATGTCGCGTTTTGGAACACTTTCATTAACCACCCCCCCAAAAAAAACGTACATCGCTTATAATAGTTAAACGAACTGCCTAAACGTCACATTAGCGTAACCTATATAATATATACAAACTTTAGTATATTCTAATCCCTTATAGTGATGGTACACAACGAGACATATATTCACCATGTAATGTTGTTTGAATACAAGAAGGGAAACAAGACCTCTGTAGGCACAAAGAATATGAAAGAAGTTTATAGAAATGGTTCAACAAATTTTGTTCAGGTGACTTTAGCTTTAAAAACTGTGATGGCAGAGGCCGACATGTTGGAATTGATATTGATACTCCAAAATGGCCCTGAAATTGCATGTCTCTCATGAAACAATACATAAACATCTAAGGAATATGGGAAATCTCCATAAAGAAGGTGTTTGGGTGCCTTACGATCTCTCTGATGATCATCGTTTCCAACGTGTGAACGTTGTTTTGTCTCTTCTGGCGTGTAATATGCGTGAACCATTTTTGGACAGAATTGTCACTGGTGATGAAAAATGGATTCTCTATGCGAATATTAAATGCCAAAAACAATGGCTCAATCCTAGACAAAAAACACTTCCGACCCCAAAACCTGGATTCTATCGCAGAAAGTGATGCTTTGCATTGGGTTGGACATCAAAGGAGTAATTCATTTCGAATTCCTCAATCCACAGCAAACTGTTAATGCAGGGATCTATAGTCAGCAACTGGAACGTTTAAATCAAGCCCTTCATCAGAAACGCCTTTCACTCGTCAATCGAAAGGTGTTCTTCTCCACAACAATGCATGTCCACATGAGGCACGTTTGACACAAAACAAGATTATGGAGTTGGGTTGAGAAGTTTTCCCCCACCCACCATATTCTTCAGATATGGCACCATCAAATTACTATCTTTTTCGTTTGCTGCAACACCATCTTAATGGGAAAACCTATGCAAATGTGGAAGGTTTTAAAGAGGACATCAACGTTTTTTTGTTTTAAAGCCAAGTGATTTCTTTAACCAGGACATTAGAAACCTGATTGTAAGATGGAAAAGCATCATCGATAGGAATGGAGACTATTTCATTTAATAGATGTTTTGTTTTGATATATAAGTTATTCGGGTTTATTCATCTAAAAAAAAAGGCGACATTAATTTCATGACGACCAAATATATTATAAAATATAACAATGTTAACTTCATTATAAAATGTAGGTTTATCTGAATTTTGCCAATAGCTATTTGCTAATGGAAAATATTCTTTATTTATAGCTACATTAACCAACTATAATAATATCACTTTTAAATCTTTTTTAATTTTTTGAAATTGAAATTCAAAATCTATTTTGCAAAGTTTAGTATAGCTGCTCCTCTACTATTACTTTTAATACTATTTATAATCTCCATCCTACTCTTATTATTGATTAAAAAAAAATTGAAAATAAACATCCTGTAAGTAATGAATTGTCTAATATTACTTTTATTTTATTTGATGTTTTTTATTTTAAATCTTACAATATTACAAGATACTTCGAAATCATTTATTTTACCTATTATTTATTTCTATCTATTAATATTTCTCTCTTTTTCGTTTATAATATATTTGATCTCAAACAGGTAAAGACAAAAACAGTAAAACATGACCTGACAATCATTAACACCATCTGATTCTAAAAGCTATACTTTGTTGGTTTATTTGAAAATTAACTACTTTAATTAAACATCATATACTTAAATGTACAAAAATTTAAAAAGAAATATTAATTACAAAAGTTATCATTAATTTCTGTTACTATTTTTAGCTCTACCTTTTTCTTATACCAAGTGGCAAACTAACAGGTTTGCACAGTTACATTCAGAAACATTTCACTTTACTTTCCAAAACTGAATACCTTCTTTTCATAATTGTAAAACATCCTTAGTTTGTCCAGAATGCAAAATTTTTAGTTCTGGGGGAGAAGAAATTTGCAAGAATATTTTTTCTAATTTTTCAAATTTCTAGCATTTGATAAAATTATATTCATTTGGTTATAATAAAAAAAAGCAAGGACAGTTGAAGGCTGTTTATCTTGTTGAAGAGTAAGTAATCTGTGTACTAAATAAAACTTCATATCATCCACATCCTGTAAATCCACCTTTAGATAATCCTTAGATAAATATCTAATAACTTTCTCTTTGTTTTCAGTTTTTGGATATGAGATTCCCTAAATTTGTAAATTTCTTCTTCTATGTTAAATTTCTATTCATAAAATTTATCTTAGATATTTTCCCATTTTCTTCATAGTTAATTACATTACATTATATTCATGTAATTTTTGCTTAATATCTTGAATTTCAGATATTTACAGGCTATTTAAATTTCACATTTTATTTTTTGACTCCACATTTTTCATTTTTAACTCAAACATATCTTAGTCTTTAAGTAGTCTTCCAAAAAGAGAGCTTTTGTTGAATACTTATTCAGAGTTTTAGATTGCATATAATTCATTTTTCCAGTTTTCAAATGTTTCTAGTGTTTTTTGATTTGTTCTACCTTTGTCAGATTAATAGATAATTACAAGGAATAATAAGGAAGCTTCTCACTTATTACGTGTTTTTCAGAAACCATATGCTTGTAATGCTCTGGGTTGCACTAAACGCTACACTGACCCTAGCTCACTCAGAAAACATTTTAAAACTATCCATGGTCTAGAGTTTTGTGCTAATAAGAAACATAAAGGGAATCAAAAAAGAGGTTCAGAAGGAGTTGGATATAATTATAAAGCTGCACCTGGAAGTACTGATGGAAGTCCTCATTCTGATGATGGTATAGGAAGCAAACTCTCCAGTTTATCAAGTCCCACTATTAAACCTGAGGTAAAATAATAGACAACAAAATATTACAGTAGCTGTGAATAATTTTATGAATTGAAATTTTAAAAAATATAACTGATTCAAAATTATAATTTTGAAAGAAGCATGCTAGGGAATATTGTACTATAACTTAATACATTGATGACATTTTTTCAATATTTTTCAAATTACCTATGATTTATTATATCTGGTACACGTTACCATTTTTTTTATATACTTCAGTAAGTGAAGGAATACTTAAACTAAGAAATGTTTGTTGGGCCATTTATCAGTCATTTTAAGTACCTTTCTGCAATTTACTTAAGAGTAAAGAGACCATTAACAAAGACTTAAGAATGTAAAGTACTCTGAAAATGCTTATTTCAAGAAAGTGAAATATAATAATCAATCTCCCTTCTTTGACAAAGTATAAAAATTGTAATTTTTGCATGTACTTTTAGAAAATTGCGTTTGAAGAATCTATAACCAGTATCAGATATACATAGTTGAGTATATTATTTAAAAATGATTTTGAATATGCAAATCAAGCCTTGTGATAACCAAGTAGATGTAAAGTTTTAGCAGAATGGCTTGTATAAGAAATACATTTTGACATTTTTTGGCATGGCATTTCTCAGTTAGTGTAAGGCAACCGAAAATTGATTGCTTTATTAAAAGTGTATGTAACAGCCCTTTCCGACACATAATCTTCACACACTCAGATCATAAAGATGTGTTTACATTGAGAATATTCCCTTTTATTCAATAACATTAGAAACAAAAGGAATATGGATCAGCTTGGGAACAAGAAACATCCAAAAAGAGACCTGTAACAAGTCATACCACAACGTGGTAAGCAGAGTGTGGCATTGCAACAGGTAAGAATCAATGAACACAAAATTCATTGGCTAAAGCCATCCATATGCCCTAGGCAACATACTCATGAAAAATCACCAATAATACCTTCAGGCCAACTCTCACATACTCCAAGTAGCTGGAGAATGAAATGGGTATTCATGCTAATGTGTATGAAGATATACTTGAGTAAGGAAGCACATTATGCTAATATAGTAATAATTAGGCAAACAATGATTTATAAGCATAAGAAAAGTTTATTGATGGTGGAACATACTACATGTTTTGACAGAACATTGGTCTGTCTTCTTCTTCAACACATGTAGTATGTTCAACCATCAACAAACTTTTCCTTATGCTTATAAATCGTTGTTTGTCTACCTATTGTTATATGAAGACATATCAGTCAAGTTGCTGGATGCAGTGCCTATGGATTGTTCTGTGTGATCAGACTGTTGAAACTGGTGCTGGGAAATCATCATTCTTGTATACTAGATGGATTATGGAAAGCCTGCAGGCCTGATATGCTTTGGAAAATGCACCCTTACTATGGAGCCTTTTGTACTGGAAACTATTTTGCAGAGCGATTATCAAGATTCATGGTTGTCAGATAAAACATAACTAGGCATGATGACATGGACTGTAACATTGCAGTAAGGCTCCAAAATCCTGTTGATATAATGTACAAACACTCTGTATGAATATAATTTTTTACTTAGAACATTCTTAAGACTTATAAGTTGCAGGAAACAACCTCATAGAGTTATTATGTAATGGTATTTGCAACTATTTTTTAAGAACATGATTTGGAGTTGGAAATTTGGTAAAGTTCCTGATATGATGTCAGGAATGTTTGTTATTTAGAAATATAATTTTATCTAGGAACAGGGATCTCCTCAACAGGATGGCAATTTAAGTGGTGATGTGGATCAGGAAGTTTCAAGTGCATCAAACCAGGCATTTTTTGAGGGACCTACTAGTGACAATAGTGTTTCAACAACAAGTGTAGAAACTGAAAAATTCTGGGAGTTTGTGGAAAACCCTGATTTTCAAGTGAGTGTCAGATAATCTATTGAAGTGATTGTTTTATATCACATTCTTAGACTTTATAATAAACAAAAAATAAAATCTCAGTTAAGTTTTGAGCACAGATCACATGCTTATTTTTATGTTGTTTTATTTTTCTGTATAAATAATGGTACCTGTTGTTTTTAATGTGTTGTACCCATACTATAGGTTGAAAAACCTTTACCTGGGATTGCATGTGCTGTGTCACCAAATAACCAGAAAGCAATGGCAGAAAGTAATATTTGCAACAGACTAAAGAGCAAATTTCAATTGCATTTCAAACTTGGAAGTGCATGGTTACCAAACATTGTCCCAACAAGAGGTACTTATTTCCAGAGTTTAATTATGTCATTGATTAACTCTTTCAGCATGGGCTCTGTCCCTGGGATGGACCTCGTAACCATTTTGTGCTTGTTATAGTTTTCATGCTATAATGTTTAAATTAGTAAACGTATGTTAACGAAATTATGTAGATTATCAATAAACATTACAATGCTTTCATATGCATAATATCAAATTTTTTTATAAGTCTTAAGGTTTGTTAAGAATGTTTTTCTCAT